TTTGTGCATCCTAGCATAGTCTTCTCACATTTAGTTTAAATTGTGATTGTTACATAATCATCAAGTTTATACAAAAATAGATGTTTATTTATAGATTCATCTTTTTCCTGAAGTAAGTCAAAGTTATTTCAGGTGTCCATGCATATCCTCTTTTGTACAACAATTAGGCAGTTTGCTTTTGATATGTGGCAAATCTTAACTATCTCCAAGGGATATCTGAAAACAGGGTACCAAACAAGTTGAAAGCTTTTCAATGATTCAGGAGAGATGACTGTCGAAAGGAAAGATAACACAAAAATGCTAGAAAGTGCATGGTATTGTTCTGCTACTTCAAAATGAACTGTTTGTAAAATGTTTTCGAACAATTGAGATTTGAAAATTAATTAGTTACAAGAAGTGATAAAAGGAATATAAAAATAATATGCTCGATAAGGGAAGCCAATTGCTCTAAGTGGCCTATTAAAGTTAATGCAAAATGATTATGTTGAATCGGGGACTACTTTAAATACTTAAGTTGGAGGCTTCACCCATGAGTTAGGTGAGATATAAATTTAAGCTTATAAGCTACTACAGTTATTTTGTTCATCTCTGTGAAGCATTTTGCACATGACAAGTTATTTCCGAAATCTTTTTCTGCATCTTAATGTGCATCAACACCATGACTTTTTCGGAACAAAAATTATATATAGAGGAAGGTACTCCTCTTTTGAGCTTTGCATTCTTATTCATGTTAAGATTCTTTACGAAGATTTTGGAGCTGTTACCATAACTCATTCCAGGTCTTTCTTCACAAGTGAGGCTAATAGGTATCTTGGGCGTGAAATAATATCTATGATAGAATTTCTAGACATGTTGGCCTGAGGTATGAACATGTTCCAGAGTTGGTACTAAGGGTGTAACCATGTGATTAGCTAGCTCTACTCAAATCAACACATAACTTGGCTGATTTGCTTAAGAAATCAAGGGATGTGTTAAGAAATACATTATATATGGAGTTGAAACCTGTGTTTTTGGGCACCAATAATTACCTATTCAACCAACACAACTTTTAAGTTATTGAATATAAACTCCGAAGTTTGATGAGTGGCAAGACGTCACTGGTATTCATTTGTTTGAATAATAGGCGTCCCATTTGAAAGGTCAGTTAGCAACTTGCACAATCTGTTACAGAGATACATCGGGCGAACTTGATCTTCGGAGGGTGAACAAAAATGCCTTTAGTTGCACATATGTATCTTGTGCCTTTACCTAGATGACAATGCAAGGATGGTTCTCCATTTATCATTCATTTTCATGTCGTTAATCTCAAACTCAACTAATGTAGAAACTTTGCTTCTTGTAAATCAATGCATTATATAACCATTCTTACCAACTATAGGACTAGAGGAGGGGCCTACATGTGTAGCAGTTGTGTATCATTCTTTGACTGGTCACTTGAGCAACTGATTTATGTCTGAATGTTCATATGTTACTATTTTACATCTGTCAACTGTTGCAATGTAAATCGTTTGAAAGATTGTCATATTTTCTTGTTCTCTTTGTCATTGTATATGTACTAGTTTGGTATGGGTTCATTATTCTCTATTACATCTGTTTCTTTTCTTGTCCATTTTTTTATGTAAAAATGTTTTGGAACCAACTTTGCAGGAAGGTGCACTCATCGGTTATGACTCCTGAGAACACTGAGCTAATCCGGAAGTCCATATATAGCCTCATTTTCACCTTAAAGAATGTTGAAGTAAGTTCCTCTGATTTATGTTCAATTTATAAACAACTCTTTGAACGATCATTGTTTCGTACACCATCATGATAATTTCTGCAGTCGTCTCTTATTACTCTACATAAATAAACTTTGCAGAACATAAGCTCTGATATCTTAGGGTTTACTGGTGATGACGCTACAAGACGGAATCTTAAACTGCTTATTAAGTCTCTCAGCAGGCTGTTGTGAAGATGGAATGCGGAAGCTCGGTCGGGGTTTGTGGTTTACCCTAGAGCTGCAAATGCATTGAGTCCTGGATCTGACTGCTTGCTCAGTTAGGGGAGGTTAGATATAATCTTCTGGCTGGTTTTTTTTTATTAATGGACTTTAATTGGTATCCTGAAGTAATGAGGGTAACTAACCTTTTTACAGTTTAGGAAAGCCAAAAAGTTTTGCACATTTTTTTTTTTTTTTTTTTGGCTGGTTGAGCAATGTTGTGAAAGATCTCTTGTAAGTTGCAAGTACAATTGTGTATGAAGTAATTTCGTATAGTTTAAGGTTGATGTTTCCAGTTTACCTTACTGCTCCAAATGTTTAAGGACACCATCCTACAGCCTTAGCCTAAAGTGCAAATTGTTTCAAGAAGAAAAAGTGCAGGCCTCTTAATAGTCTCAATAATGCCATCAAACATGGCTGAAGATTGCAAGCAATAAGCAAGGATGTGAACTACCTAAGGTGGGGAAAGATCTGAAGACTCTTTAACAAATGAGAAGAAACTAGAGAGAGGACTCCTCTTATGGAGAAAATTTTCATGAGAATCTATGCTAGTACTGTACCATATACACAAACATTGGAAAAGATTATGGAGGGAAAAATTACAGCAAATAAGACCCAATTTTGAATAATTTTACACATAATTAGTATCACACTTCTATTCCTTTTTTTTTTTAAATGAAATAAAATTATAAGGAGTCCATAATAATAGAAGTCATTCAAACAAATTATAATTCTAATAAACCCACAAAATGGTGGAAATTACAACTTAATATCATGGCAAACAGATGGCGCATTTTCTTCAATTAGTGTGCAGATTTTATGGATGAAATTATTATTTCTATTTTTTTTAAAAAAATCATCACAAACTAATCCACATAAACATAAAGGTGGAGAAGAAGAATTAAACCCAGAATCTGGATCTCAATTTTGATCACCAAATCAAAGTTTTTTTTGGCCCTGTACTGTTGTTAGTAGCTTTTTTTTGGGTCTGTACTCTTGAAGTGTAATTTGTGCAGTTTCATTTATAATCAAGACCATAATCTTCCCAGCGGCTACGCGCACAAATTCAACTCTTCCTTTGACATATTTACACCGCTCCAGCTGGCTACAGGACAATTATGTATAAAAAAACAGATGCCACCGAAAGAGGTGGTTGAAATTAAAGTCTGATTGATGCAACGAATTCTTTTGCAAAATGAAGTAGAAAAAAGGACAAATAAAAAACTCTCAAAGAATACTTCTTCTACTCTTCAAGCCTTCCCCAACTAAAAATTGAAGGGGTCATTGATTTGTGTCCGGTGGAAACAACGTTTATATGAATCATGTGAGGTGACCGGAGAGGCTTGGCGCTGTCATTGCGTTGCGTGTAGGTCAAAGGGTTAAATCCATCTGCTTGCATTTTTTTTCAGGCTTTTTTTTGTAAATTTTCAACTAATGCGAGTCGGCTTAATTGGTAACAACATACCGCTTTCTCACGAAAAGATCATGTTTTCGAATCTCGCTGTTGATGTGAGGGATGTATTGATGAGCGATTTATAAGAATCTCTGTAAGCGATCTATAGTTTCGAAAGTATGTCCTGATTCGTAGCGGTGACTGAAATCAAACTCACCGCAACTTTTAATTATCAGAAAAAGGAATGTATTGATGGGTGATTTATAAGAATTTCTGTAAACGATCTATTGTTTCGAAAGTACGTCCTAACTCGTGGTGGTGACCGGAGTCGAATCCACCTAAACTTTTAATTATTAGAAAAAAAAAACCATACAACATTGACAAAGATGATGAGAATCACCTAAACATGAGGAGCATACATCTAGCCTAACCATCATATCATGCAGTAGTAATGGCGCTATTTATATTCCAAAAATTCAAGGTACGATTCAAGTCAAAATTGTTCGGGAATCTATGAATTTTATGCTAATGAACATGTTCCCTATGACAGAGAAATCCATTATTATTAATCAGTCTATAATCAGGTGTCTTGTATACAAATTGACAAGAGCAGGATTCTGTTGATACATGTGCAGGTTTTGAACCACACCATTTGGAAACTAGGGGCATTTGGGGGCAAAATAAACCAAAATTAGTTACCGTTGAGTGAGGTATAAATATATTACTCCATCTGTTCCGTTGTTGGTCAAACTTGAGGATATTTTTTCCAGGGATTTTACTAAATTCATTTTCAGATTTTTGGACAATCTTTTGTTGTTAGCCGAAGCACTCGTTCTTTGTTTCTCTTTTTTTTTTTTTCCCATTTAATAATTAATACATGAGTTTGTCTAAAGAGTTCAGTCGCAAAAAGTTATTAAAAAAGTCACCACATTTCTAAACAATAGATACAAAACATAGAATACTTAAAGTCAAGAGATGTGCCATCTTTTAATTTATTTCTTTTCCTTGTCTAAATTCTCTTGTACATGCTATAATATCAACAAAAAAAAAAAAAACCAAATATTGTAATATGTTACCATATGAGTAAAGCATTTAATGAGTCGAATACTTGGTGTTCAGCCTCTATTCGTATATTATACGAACATGGTTCGAGTTCGATATGAATATTAATAAATTACAAATATTATTCGAATCCGATTCATTTATTTGTATAAATATACGAGTTTAAACTCGAGCTCGAATTTGACTTTGAAAATGATCTAATTATATTTTTAATAAATAATATATTATTTAGAATAAGTTTAATTGCATTTATTGATTTTTAAAAAATAAATAATGCTAATTTATGTATAATTACTTTTTTAGTAAAATACAATATATATTTATATTTATATATGTGTTCACCCGCTCAATTAGTAAATGAATCTAATATTGTGTTCGAACCCGAACGAATCGAACACTAACATATTCACAAACACCGCAATTCGTTAACAGCTCTACATATGAGTATTGGCAAAGTATTTGAAAATGATGGTCATTTATATGCTTTGGTCGTGTGAAATATAAATAGAAAAAAGGTTGACCTTATTGAAGTGACTACTTCAATTTACCGGCCGGTCACGTTCGCAAAATAGTTTGGTGGAATTCTATCACTATTAGTTCTTACCTTTTTTTTTCTTTTTTCTTTTTTGGTTCTTACTTCTTAATAGGTCTCTGTCTTCTCACGTCTATCTCCTCTCCGACTTTTGTACGTAGCATTGACTCGTCCATCAGCTCAACTGAATATAGGACTAATTTTTTGCCCTCAGTAATTGATTTCTGGGCAACCCTTTAAGCCTTTTGGCAATCAGCTTTTGGGTTTGAGGTAAGGTTCACATTTTCTTCTTATATTGCATTGCGATCTTTTTCAAGATTCTGCCCAATTTTATGTTTTTTTGGCAATTCTGCAACATGGGTTCTTCCACTTATGTTCCTTTGTGGGGAGCATTGTATGAAAAATTGTGTCTTTATGATGGGTTTTGGCTTAATTGACTTCTCTGTTCTTTGCTAAATTGATCTGTCCGAGATTGGAAGACTGTTGGATGCAGGTTTTTGTTAACATGGTTTCGTGTTGCCTTATTGAAATTTTGTCAGCGTTGTTGATTGTTGGTGCTTATATTCTACTGTGCGGCACGTGTGCTTGCATCTATATGTGCCTGTTCTTTTATGCATTGACCATAAATGGCTGAAATGATTTGGCCAAATTTTGATTTTTTGACACTCAGGAAGCATGATTTCGTAGATGGGAATCTTTTAGGATCAACTTTTCTATAATGACAGTTATACAGATTCTTTGCACTAGCAGGCCTAGAAGTTCAACACATTGATGGAAGAAATTTAAAACTTGTGTAGATTATGTGTCATGAATTTAACCCGCTTTCTACTGAGTTTGTTACAACGTTAGTGAGGAAAGATTGATCCTATCCTTTTTATGTGAAATCATCGTGGAAGGCCCTAAACAACGAAAGTTTTCTTTGAAGCATATTCAGGGATAGATGAAAAATTGTACTTAATGATCTTAATGGTCTTTAATCCTAAGTTGGTCCAATTTTCAGCTACTAAGTTGGTCCAAACTATCATAATGATCTTTAATCCTCTTTTAGATTTATGGTTTTTGTAGCTACCTTGATTTTAAACTTTGATCTCCAAGAACCGCCCCCCCCCCTTTCTTTTTGGGTTTATATTATTGGTTTCTTGAAAAATTCCAGCTTTCACCAGCATGATTTTGTTTCCTGCTCAAAATTTTTCTCCAGGTGGTGCTCAGATATCTTGAAGACTTTCACATGCCAGACATCTGGAATCAAGGTTAATGATTGTGTAAAGCACTGGTTTTACAAGGACATCTGTTCAAGAACATTCAACTAACTGACTTAAGCCTCCTGGATATGCGTGATCGTCATTCCTAGAACTGGGAAAAAATGGGATCTTCAAAGTTTCCTCTGCGCTATGGGATTGTACTCTTGACCTTCGTCTGTACTTTTGTTTGCTATATTGAACGTGTGGGCTTCTCAATAGCATACACAATTGCAGCTGATGCTGCAGACATAAATCAGACAAGCAAAGGCATGATACTTTCAACATTCTATTACGGCTATGCCTGTTCACAAGTACCTGGAGGTTGGGCAGCTCAGAAAATTGGTGGTAGGCTTGTTCTCCTCTTCTCATTTGTCTTGTGGTCTCTAACCTGTGCTTTGATGCCTCTTGATCCAAATCGAGTGACAGTGTTGGTGATAGCTCGCCTGCTTGTTGGTGTGGCCCAGGGATTCATCTTTCCTTCCATCCACACTGTCCTAGCCCAGTGGGTGCCGCCACATGAGAGATCACGGTCTGTTTCTCTTACAACATCTGGGATGTATTTTGGCGCTGCAGCTGGAATGCTAGTGCTTCCAAGCCTGGTGAAGTTCAAGGGTCCTCAATCTGTATTTGTTGCTGAAGCGGCTCTTGGTGCATCATGGTCTCTACTATGGCTCAAGTATGCCAGTGATCCACTACGTTCTGAGCATCCAAAAGCAACTGCTGCTGGTTTTGGTGAATCCCTGCTACCTATTAAAGGGGGTCAAAAGACAAAGGTAGAGAATGGAGGACATTCCATCAGAACACCCAAAATTCCATGGAAAAAAATTATCCTTAGCCTCCCAGTGTGGGCAATTGTCGTTAATAATTTCACTTTCCATTATGCTCTCTACGTGCTTATGAACTGGCTACCTACATACTTTGAATTAGGCCTTCAGCTCAGCCTTCAAGAAATGGGTTCTTCAAAGATGATGCCTTATTTTAACATGTTTTTATTCTCAAATATTGGTGGAGTGATTGCTGATCACTTGGTCACAAGGAGAATCTTGTCTATAACAAGAACAAGAAAGCTTTTGAATACTGTTGGATTTATTGTGGCTTCATTTGCATTAATAGTTCTTCCTTACTTCAGAACCTCTGGTGGAGTTGTGTTTTGTTCTTCTATTGCTCTTGGTTTCTTGGCGTTGGGAAGAGCTGGATTTGCAGTAAATCACATGGATATCGCTCCAAGATATGCTGGAATTGTGATGGGGGTGTCAAATACAGCTGGTACATTGGCTGGCATTGTTGGGGTGGATCTCACTGGTCGACTTCTGGAAGCTGCTAAAACTGCTCAGTTGGACTTGACTAGCCCGGATAGTTGGAAAGCAGTATTTTTGATACCTGGGATGCTGTGCATTTTTAGCTCTTTTATTTTTCTTCTATTTTCCACGGGGGAAAGAGTTTTTGACTGAAAAGATGGTTATTACTGCTTAGGATGTATGTATTCTTATTCAGGAGATGGTTCTCCACATACAACCCTATTCTGGCAGATTGATCTGATGCCCTTTTTCAGCCTTATCCTTCTCCATCATGAATGCATAGCAAAAGTATATCAAAAGGTTCAAGACTCACAGTTTGGCTTGCTATTTTTTGAAGTTATCATTGCAACTCCTGCAGATTGCACCGATTGAGGTGGAGTTTGCTCATTTAGACTTTGATGCCATTTGTTGGATGTCCTTTTACTACTTGTACTTGTAGCTTCATGATAGCCTTCCAATTGGTTACTTGTTATTTTACCTTCTTTTTTTTTTTAATAACCTTGAGTTTAGGATTGCAATTTTTAGTTAGACATTGTCCAGCTATGGTTAATTACTGGACTGATTGATTGGCAATAGCATTAAGAAATTAGGATATTAGTTTAGCCTTCTGTATTTAGTCAAATGCCATGTAACCATTCAGAATGCACTACTGAGGAATGGTTCCAACATCTTTTTTTTATACATTTTTAAATTTTGCGAATATATTTATGAAGAGCGGTTCAATTTATATCACCATTTAACTTATGAACAATTGGTACAAGCCCATCTGTATTTGATAAGTTTGCCTTTGTTGCAACAGCAAGTTCCGAGATTTTCCTATATATCCACAAAGGCGTTTTGACATATTGTTTATTTTGACAGACATATTTAGATGCAATTGCAGGTTTTTCACTAGAAGCTCTGCACGTCCGCCCATATGCACATGGGTGTATTTTCTTACAACTGCTGTTTTAGTCAATCATGGAAGGTTTGACATTATATAAACACAAATGAGGTTGGAGTTGGATATAAATGTTCTGATTCTTTCTCCGTAGTTAGAGCAAATTACTCATGCTTATAAATTTTCTCATTGATGTGTTTGGTAAATCCTTGACATGCAGATCTAAACTGAATGAAATTTGTAAACAGGCTTCGTTCTCTTGACTAGATGTTTGACACTTTGACTTTATTTCAATAGTTTTTAAAACACCTGCAGTTGTTTCTTGTACAGCATTCTGGGTTGGTATGCCAGCAGCTATTGATCTCAAGTAGTTGCTTGTTTTGTCAAATAAGATTGTTATATTTGTGCTTGCTTTGTGCTACAGATTGCCTTGGACTTAGGTTCACCACTAGACAAGAAGGCATCTCGTGTTCATCAACACAACCAGTGTATCAAAATTGTGGTTTGACCAAGATTAGCTTACCACATATTAATTATCTTTCACTTACTATTATCTGGTTCTGGTCAATTTTTTCTTGCATAATTTTTATATATTCTTTCTGCTGTTAGTTTTGTACGTCTGCGCGAACATTGGAGGAACTCATATATTCAAACTCTGATGATGTGTGCCAAAATTCTTTATCTTGCTTTTGTTATAGGTTTATGAACTCTTTGACATGCTTTCTTGGGGTGCTGTGTATGGAAATTTGCAGAAGCAAATTCGGGAGAAAATAATGGTAAGAGGTGGAAAAGCACTTCTCTAGTCATCAATAGTAAGTTATTAGGAAGTATACTTTTGGCTGTAATTTCCTTTTAGTCCTTTTCAAGGTATGACAATATAAAGTGAAACCCAATGTGTGTGCTGCAATTTAATTCCTGGACAAGTTAGCTGTGATCAATAAGACATGAGGGCACTGACTGGAATCCTATGGCATGCTAAAGATTCCTATGATTTGTTAGTTCAAAAGCTGGTGCTCTTAAAAGTCTGAAGTCCATATAATTGCATCATAATGCAGCTACATATCTGGTCTTACTTTATACCCCTGAGATGTGACTGCCTTATCTTTGTTCTTGTCTCTTTAAGATTGTTTCATCTCTTTATTCTAGTGCTCATATCTATGTGGCACAGGCTCATTTATTTTGTTTCAAGTCATTCACCTGAATGGGTTTTACGGAGTCATGATTCAGAAAACGTGGGTTATTAGTATGATGACGGCCGTAGTAAACATATTGCTAGGAATTTGATTCTTGGGCAGTTTGGACTTAAGTCCAGGAAGTGAGACTTCTATCTAGAGAAGTTTGTACTTTGAAATTACAAGGCATCATGTTAGATTTTTAGTCTTATACTGTCAGATGATTTTTATTCTTATTTGCTGTATCAATTAGCAAGCAAGGTCCATCTTCCATTGTTATCTTTGTGCAATGGGCCTGCTCGTTTTCTTTTAGACATTGAAGGACGTATGTCTATATGCTCTTGTATTGCTGATACTGTGGAAATTTGTACATGGATTGTTAGCTTTTTCTGTTCCTTTTTTTTTTCTTTTGAAGATTGACTTCATGAAAGTGTGAACTTATATCCCCTATTACGATGAATCATCTCTTTATCAGCTCCCTCTCAGAAAATGAATGCTCCCCCTCGTCTACTAACTTAACAACAGAACAAAGATAATGGGGAAATTCCAATTCTCGCTGGAAAGATTAGTCATCCAGTTTCATACATGCTATTACTGTTCCTTCTCTCTTTCCCTGCACAGCTTTAAAAATGCTTTGGCATCTTGGATCTTTTCTTGAATTCCTTTTTTTTTTTCATTTTCATTGCATTAGCATCTGATGGACTGCTATCAGCTATTACTGCACTTGTTTCCTGTTTCCACCATGATTACTGCACATATTAATACCTCTTCATGGTCTGTATAGCCTTTGTGAATCTACTTGACTCATCGTCAACTGTTGGAATTTATGAAGGAGATGGACTTTTTGATACAAGCATTATGACAACGAGTACAAGAGAATGCTATCAAGTGATTATGAAGGTTTGTGGGACTTGGTGGTTAATTGGACTCCTAGATATGTGAACCTGATGCCTTAATTCTGGCCTGAATGGTATAAAGTCGTTTTCCTGTTCACAACTTCTCCTGTCATCAGATTGGGCTGTCGGCAAAAGTAGGAGCATTGGGAGCAGCAGAAAACGAGTTGAAGTGAAACTCACTACTATACTAACATACGAGGATTTGGGTTCAAATGATTTCAAGATAATACATTTTCTTGTTCTCTTGAGCTTGGATAATCAAACTATTATTTACATTTGGGGTGTACATAACGTCAAAAATAAGAAGAGAAGTTGGTTGGTAGCTCAAATCAAGTCATCCAGAATTTCATGCATTTTGAACTGGAAATGAAGACTAGGTTAACCAACATGTTAACTAATCGATTGCGATAAACTGGATCGAATTTGCCTGTTTTTTTCCTTTCTTCTGCAGCACCTGGACTGTAAAAGCCCTTTAGTGCTTCTATTCCATATTTATCAAATCCTGCATGACTTGTTTTTCCAATAAATTCTTAAAGACTTTCTTTGATCTTCACAACGTAATCAATTGATTCATAAAAGAACTAGTAGTAGCTGGATGATGGACACTCAAATCTTTTGTATCGATCCAGTTTATCGCAATCGATTAGTTAACATGTTGGTTAACCTAGACTTCATTTCCATTCAAGCTGTATGATTTTGAGAATATGTACTGCTATACATAATTTTGCAAACACCTCGTAAAGGATACCAACTCAAAATTTAAAGCCAATAATGAATGAAAACAGACAAAAGGCTGTCCCAACAATGCCTTTTTCCTTTAATGGAATTTCTTTACATAGAAAAGAACAAGCATAAGGTATACAAAGTAAAGTATAAGATGAATCTAATATACGACTTACAATGACCTTTTTAACACAATCCTTAGCCTTCTCCTGGCCAATTACCCATTTGGTAGCTTAGTTGGCACCGTTGGTTTCTGCATTTTCGGGAACATGTGGACGATTATAGAGTCAGAAACCTACATTGTAGTAGGCAATTACGTACAATAACAATAGACTCAGGAAGGACACCATTTAATAGCATGTGGTGTATCATACTCTACATGTCATCACGAGTAATATCCAACGAAATAGAAGAAAGTCTATTACAAATAAACAGGAGATCTTGGCTTCATGCACCAGAGAGACAGAAGAGTGCTACAAAAATGGGAAACACTAACTCACGCATATGCATATGACACAGCATTCAACCAGTACAATCTAAAGTCATGCAAAGATTGCTAAACATACGGGCACATTTTATAAAAATTTTGCAAACTTGTACAGCAAGGAGTTCTGGAATGGCTCATAGTGATGCCCTCACCTCCATCCCAGTGTTGGTAACTACAATTTTCTGGTAAGGCAGAAAACATTATGAAAGCAAGGCCAGATCATAAAGCTAGACAGGAAGAGCCTCAGGAAAAGTTCATGGCTGCTGCAACTTACATATTGGCAAAAGAAAGAGAAGCAAGATGATCGAGAAAAACAAGAGATGTGATACTTTCGTCACAGATATACATCGCCAAGAGATCTAAGAAAGAAAATGCCAGACAGAGATGGAAGATAGCAATTGGATGAAGAATAGTTACCATAGCATATGTTCATTCTCATCTGTGGTCCAAGCTACACAGCCATGCTTAACAATTGAAACTGAATATTGAAGAATGTTCTGTGGAATTTTGTTGAAGGTAGCTATATTCGGGAAGCCATACAGCTGGAGAAACAAGCAAAATGTGTGACGTCAGGGACGAGGTGAGTATCAATTGGAAAGACTGGAGAAGTGGCGCAATTTTCCCCCAACTGTTCTGTCAATTTCCTCACACTTCTGTGGGGAATGTTTTGTGTGCATCTGCATGTGTCCGTGTTTATTCCTTGTGCAAAAAGAATAGAAGTTCCCCATATGGAAATCTCTTATTTTTTGTCCTTAATGTTGTTAATTAATAAAGGAATTTATCTTACGTTTCTTCAAGAACTTTCAAAAAATTTTCTTCTTCCTTGTAAAACTTTACAACCACCAGGGTGCCGGTTTACTTGGATGGGAAACAAGAGTTTAGCAATTCAGATTGTTCCACTTCTGATAAAACTTGATCCTCTAGCCTTTCTAACGCTTTGGTTGAGCATCAATCTTCTGACCCTTTCAGCCTCACCCCAGTTACCATTCAAGACATACAAATCAGAAATGAGAGTATACACACCTCCATCATTCTCAGGCCTAACTGTCCTCATTACCCGGTCAATTATTCTCTCAGCCATCTCAAACTGTTTATGCAACTTACAAGATGCCAAAAATGATCCCCAAATAACAACATTTGGCTCAGATGGCATTGCCCTTATAATCTCATAAGCTTCACCCAACAACCCTGCTTTTCCAAATAAATCAACCATGCAACCGTAATGTTGCATTCTCGGCCTCAGCCCATACTCTTCAATCATTCTAAAGTATCCCCGACCCTCTTCCACCAATCCTGCCTGTGCACAAGCACTCAGTAACCCTGTAAAAGTCAACTCATTAGGCTTCACATCACATTCCCTCATCCTCTGAAATATCAAGAATACATCTGCTCCACAACCGTGCTGTGCAAAACCACATATTAAAGCTGTCCAAGCCACCACATTCCTATAGGTCATCATTTCAAAAACCAAACAGGCATCCTTCAAGAATCCACATTTTGCATACATATCAACTAAACATGTACCTAATTCCACATCCAGTTCCCACTTATTCTTAATCACAAATCCATGTATTGACTTGCCAAACACCAAACCAACCGAACCCATGTGACCACACCCTGGTAAAACTGAACCAATGACCACTTGATCAGGCCTCAGTCCTTCAGTCACCACCATTTCACGAAAAAGGGCCAAACCATCATCCCAAAGGCAATTGCCCATGTACCCAGAAATAACCGCCGACCATGATGAAGGATCCCTCGCCGGCATTTGATCAAACACTACACGTGCTTTGCCCAACTCGCCATAACGTGAATAGCCCGTGATCATCGTATTCCACGTGACAATATTTCTCTCAGGCATTTCATCAAACAGGTAACACGCATCTTCAAAACAGGCCACAACATACGCATTCAGCAGCGAGGTGGCTACATAAACATGGGAACTAAAGCCTATCTTAACAATGTGTGCGTGAAAATGGCGTACAAGAGGAAGATTATTCAATACTGTGCATGATTTAAGAGTAAAGAGTATAGAAAAGCTATCAAAGGGTACTCTTTTCTGTTGCATCTGGGTATAAATCTTCAATGCTTCATGAGACGACGAGGCCTTTCTTATGGCCGCAGCCCATGAATTTAAATTTCTGAAAACCCAAAAAAATTGAGCAGTGGGGATCGCTTGTGTGGGCTGCTTCGAGAGTAGGTTTGAGAGGCTTGCTAGCATAGCTTTGCTACCAATACACGTCCATCAAGAAGTGAAGCGAAGAAGATCAATTCATCGTGGAAATGAATGCCACATTTTGAGTAACATTATTATTATTTTAAAACTTATCGATATATATATATATATATATATATATATATATATATATATTAAAAATTAATTTTTTTACACTGTATACACGATTTATTGGACGAATGATAACTATATAAAATTTGAATTTAAAATTCAATTTTTGTACATATGTCATGGATCTAACGATAATAGTATATGCACTAAAATATATATTAAACTGTCACCTGATTAATTGCTTAGATAGTTTGGAATTTTAAATATTCATAGAAGTGTCTAAATCTCACGGGCAAAAGCACCTACAATATAAGTATAAAGTGATAGAATTATGACCAATTTAAAAAGAAACTTATAAGGGATAGAGTAACAATAAATTTAGAAAAAGTAATGGCCAAGAGAATTCTGTGTGTTTAAAAAATGTTGTCTATAACATTAGTATTACCCTTCTTTTAGAACACATAATGAGAGAGAGATTTTTTTTTTAATTATTATGAAATGTTTGATTTTAGCTATACCTACTGGATTCGAGAAAGAAAAGATTGTTATTATTGTCCAAGAGATTTTGTTTTGCATTCTGAAAAGTGCTATTCTTATTGTAGTTGCTTAACTCAAGAAATGTAAAAAGATTGTTACCATATATGGTTCTACCAAGTGTAACAGCATCTAGTTTACCCAACTATGTAGAAATGCAAAGCTTTATACCAACTGTTTCTTTAAAAAAAATTTTACGTTTTTTTAAACATATTTTTTAAATTATTTTTTTATCTCACATACGTCTAATTGTTATAATACTTTTTTTTCACAAAAACTCCAAAAAAAAAATGGCAATCCAATTCCAAATGGGCTCTTAGTTTTCTATCAGATAGCTAAATTATGGATTTAGTCGAAACTTTATAGAACATTAGTCTTGGGAAAGGATAGAAGAATGATGAAAATGAATTCCTTGATATATCAGTTATTCTTAAGTTGAAGATACTAGTGAATCACAGAGCAAATCCAGCGGTAAAAACAGGCTACTACCATGAATTGACATAGGAATGTCAACTTGCCATCTGCAATGCTTGGTTTGGCTGAAGTTCGCAGAATCCAAACCCATAAACACCTTACTACAAAATCCAAACCCACCCTTGATCATTGCAATGTATCAAAGACAAAGCAGTAGACAAGAATGTTACTATAACTTTTGTTCTATTCAAATGGAAAGGTTCTTCTGTCAGTTCATTCATGTATCTCCTTGAAATATTCCAACTTAAGATCAAGCATCCCAACTTTTGCATGCAAGGGGATAAGACCCTAGAAAAATAATGAAAATTATGTTCTTTTTTTTTTTTTTTTTTATCAAGATGTTCTTGGCTTATGAACATGTATATAATAATCAGAATCACATAGTTGAAAAAGTCACAGCACAAACCGTCCTAATTAAGAGGGGAAATGGAAATGATCCTCTTAGGTGAACTCTCCATCTATATATCTTTCACGTAGCTTTTCAACTCCAATTATACATCGATCCATCTTGTTTTGTTGTTTTTTTGCATAAACTCATCTCTTCTGTCACTATTCCATCAGCAGTGGAACCCTCCATTTCTAGAATTAGAACCCTTAGCAATAGATACCGACACACCCAACAAAACAAGACCTAATCATTTATTCCACCAATCATGCATGCCTTCGAACTGGGAATGGGCAGAACCTTCTTTGGCTGCTTTCCTTTGCCATTTTGCTCTACCAAAGAAGTCCTCCTGCCTTCCAAGTATCCAACTCTACTTTTCTTAACCATTTCTTCTCGGACTTTGTTCCACAGCCCTTGGTTCTGCTCTCAACACATCGTTAAGACTTAACTATAGTCCAGAAGCAAAATGCCAAAGGTTTCACTAGCTACTATCTATATAGGCTTCATAACTCTCAAATCTCAATATCATCTCCTTGAAATATCAGTCTGATATTCTAGCTCTTGCATGCTCTGATGGGAAGGCCAAATAGGCAAAATCGTGATACAGCCATTGTTGGTCCATCCATTGTTTTGCTACAAGAAAGGTTCAAGAAGCTGGGAAGGATAAAGGAGAGGAGAGAACAGACGAGACAAACACTCAAGATGGTGTTCTCTGAGCCCCAAAGAATCCTGCAATCCAACTGTAGAAGCTACAATTCCTTCACAGATCATGAATTAAATTTGTATCTTCCATCAAGACCAGCTTTTGATGAAGATCCACTCTCCTTGGGATTTACCTTGAGCAACGAGCATGCAGAATATGGTGCCCTCAAGAAGGCTCAACCTTCTTTTAGTGCTTTATGGTCTTATGATGAAAGGGTTGTGAATACGCCTCAAATGTATGACAAAAAATCTGATGTTGATACTTCACTTCATCTCTAAAATCTTCTCTTTTTTTTTCATATTTTAATTTTGGGTCTTTTCTCTTCTTCATTGGGCTTAAAATTAAATTTGCCAATGTGAGGAAAAGAAATTTATTTCATCATTTATCATGGAAAAATGATATGTGTCACCAAACTTTTATGTTATCACATAATCATCACTTGCTACATGGAGTATTAAATACTAATGTGGGCTCTAGTTTTCTTTCTCATTTTTTTTTTATCTTGTTTAAGTAAAAATAGTTTTCTTACATTTCATTTTTTTTTAGTTATTGTTTCCACACTTCAATTTACATACTAATCGCATCAATTTAAGCTAACATTCAAAAATATTCAATTAAGAAAGGCTTCTGTGATCATATGGGAAGTACTGCTCTCCAAGCAGTTCAGAATTTATTATCAAGAAGAGAAGTTAAGGATCTATTTATTAAGAAGCTAGAACAATTGAAAAGCGATTCGCTTACTACTTAATTCATAACAAATAATGAAACTGAATTTTCCCTCGATTAAAGATTAAATTGCATAAAGAATTAATCAAGAGAGATTGAGTTAGACATGCAAAAAGATAGTTAGAATGAATCATGGTAGGAACCTGCACAAACCTGAATAAGAAAACCCATACTAGAAAGATAAATCGTCCTACATTAAAATTCCCAATAACAAAATACCAATTAGTCAAATTTTCAAAAAAGAAAAAAAAAATTAATATGTATTGGCATTTCCTACACATGCATCAACAAATAAGTGACCAAATTGTTTGGAAAATATGAGCAGATAAGTGATGACCAAAGTGTCATGAAAATGTGAGGATGATAGGGGATGATATAAGTAGTTGTTGTGAATCTGAGAATTACAGAGCACTTTGAACCACCAATCTTTCTAAATCTATCATTATCCTGCATTTTTATCCCGTGTTTGGATTGTAAGTTATTTGAGATATTTTTACTGTAGCATTTTTTGTGATGTGATATATGTGAGATAAAAAGGTAATTGGGAAGATAAAAAGGTGTATTGGAAATTGTAATGGTGATGTAAACAAATATATTTGGCCAAATAATTATTTTCACCCATGATTTGTAGATAGAACATCTAAGCGATATAAGTAACGTTGTCTCTTTTTCATACATGACAAAACCAAGGACTTTTTTTTTTTTTTTTTGCCAACTACTCTAGAGGTAGTTGACAAAACCAAGGACTTGTTGCCAACTAAAAGCTAATTTTTTATAATCGATTCTTCAAAATCAAATTTTTTTGAATAACTCATATATTGTTAAAAAAGTTATTTTAATGAATGTACGAGTGCTCTTAAAAAAAAACTTAAACTTAATATTGACAAAAAAAAGGATAATTAATTTGTCTTTATGTGCTAATTAAATAATTTTTTGTTTAATAATTATTTATTTTCATGAAGATTAAACGTTGGATGAGAAACAAAAAAAGTGGAATAGAGGCGAATTTGGAGTAGAGAGAGACTTGCAATTAAAAAAGTTATCTAACCTTTACATTTTTTTTATCAGATGACAATAACTAGTATAATCTACTTCTACTCCTATTCTAGTCTACACTAGGGGGAGGCCTGACGGGACCTAGAAAAATTGACAAGGATTGAACCACCGTCGGACCAGGATTTAGTAATTACGTTAAGTTATGAAGGATATTTTTGTCTTCATGAAAAATAGGTTAGATCATAATCCAAGAGCAATTCAAAACGTGCTCCTCACTTTCAGCCTTGTTAGGCCCAAAAAAAATATAATTAAAATTTTAAAATCAATTGAAGACACAATAAAATAAGTTTTTGAAAATCAAAAACTGAAATCATGTTTCTAAAATCAGTCGAGGACAATTATCCAAAAAAAAAAAAAATCAGTTGAGAACAAGCCCAAGTGTAGTCAACCAGTCTCCGTTTGTAAAAGTTTTATCGGTAATACTGTAACATGTTTGGATTTGTAGTCTTTCTTGACCACTGCCGTTATTTTCTATTTTTCTACTTGGATTCAGTATAATGGGCTGACTTAAAACCTACCCCACAAATAAACTTTGTCAGGCCTTTCTCTAAACCTTCCAATCCAACCCGTCCCTAACCATTTATTGGGTCGGCAGTGGGTTATTAGTTCAAATCCGGACCATTTAAAACCCACATTGTTACATTCTAAAAGCCCGATGCAATAAAGGTAGATTGGTGCAAGTGGATTGGACTTTAATCCATGTCAGTCTCTAACGTGGGCCGTGACCCGATCCGGTACTTCAAAGAAATATGTCCAGATGTTTTAGTAGGTTATTAATTTGACTATGGATCAATTATCAATGATCCTATTTTCCATTTAGCAAATTGCATTTGCAGATTTGTAAACAGCGTAGATGAGTTGTTTGTTCTATCATAGTAATTGTCACATTTATGAGATATACATTAGAGTTCAATATGAGCTTTTCATTACTCTTAAAAATAATTATAGAGCAAAATATTAAATACTTTATTCTCTTTTTTTTTTTTTTTTTTTTTGCTAACGAAGTGGGTGTTCGGGTCAATCCTGACGGGGCTCGACTAATCCCACTCCGCCCTGGGAGGAGAGGCCCTATCCCCCCGAACACGATAACCACAGGACTCGGACCATTGCGGGTATT